AAGTATGATGAATGCCGTGAAACTGGTACCTAAAGAATGTATTTCGACACCTCTACAATAAAGCAGACAAATCGTTCTGCATTGATTTGGGCTTCGGAAGCTTGTTGTACTATGAAATTCTCTGATTTCAACACGAGGATATGTCAGTAAAATAGTGCTATGAAAATCAAGCACATGACCTTACTCTAATTTAATAGCATAAGTCAATTAATCTGTTAGTCAGTTTCTTAAAATTGAGTGAAAAATTCAAAGTTTTTAAAACTTGTTCTACATCTCCTAAAAAAACACACACACAAAATTACATTCCCGTGCAAACAAATAATTTCAGACTTAAAGGTGCTTGGACACAGATTTGAAGTTAATATTTTCTCAGATTTTCTGTATAATTTCATGACTTATATGTTGCTATAGCATTTCATACTGAAATATAATAAAAATCTTATTTCATCTCGAAGTTATTGAAACTTCAAATTTCTGGACGCGTTTGATTGACACATCCTTGCACTTTCACAATTTTTAATTTTATTCTTAATACTTAAGAAAAGTGGCAGTTTTGTTGTGAATAAATGAAAAGTATTAAAACTATAATCCAGAAAATTCAGAGTTGAAATGTTCGAAAGCAAAACCCACTCACAGTATTGCCAGTCCGTGCTCAGTGGTGTGTGCAGACTTTAACAATTGAACACACCCGGTGAATCGTAAACATTAACAATAACAGAGCTCGTGCCCTGTTTACAGAAACAGTTTACGTTTCACGGGTGTATTCAATTTGTTAAACTCTCTACACAACACTGAGCACGGGCTGACGATATTAGTGAGGAGGTTTGCTTTCGCACATTTCTACTCTGAATTTTCTGGATTATAGATGTAATGTTTTTCATTAATACAAAACAAAATCGCTTCTTTCTTTAAATATTAAGGATAACGATAAAATTTGTGAAAGTGCAAGGATGTGTTAATCAAACGCGTCCAGGAATTCGTAGTTCCAAAAATTTCCAGATAAAATAAGTTTTTAATTATATTTTCGTGTGAAATGCTATTGCAATATATAAGTCGTGATATTATATAGAAATTTTGAGAAGATATTAACTTCAAATCTGTGTCTAAGCACCTTTAAGTATTTCTTCGACCATTAGTATTTTGACATGATCCTCGAACACATTTAGGCTACCCAGCCAAGCTAAGGAAGGAAAATCGGGTAAAAACGTTGGTTAGGTTCCACCGAGATTTGAACTCGGATCGCTGGATTCAGAGTCCAGAGTGCTAACCATTACACCATGGAACCTCATATAATATTAGGTGTTCTCTGGAGACTTACTTTTGAGTCGACCTCTGAACCGAGTGACATGTCAGTGAACAACTCGACCATGTCTCAGTCTGTACTAAGGAGGGCTGATTATAACTTCCTCGGTAGTATAGTGGTAAGTATCCCCGCCTGTCACGCGGGAGACCGGGGTTCGATTCCCCGCCGGGGAGGGGTATTATTTCTTGATTTTATTTCTTCACGTGCAAAATAAATAAATAAATATTCCTTTTCACATAGATGAGATTTTACCGTGAGAGTAGGCCTATTTAAATGAGATACATCAAGTTTTATATCTTTTCTTGAAAAAAAAAATATATAAAGTATGCCGCAAGTCTGCCAGGATTCGAACCTGGAATCTTCTGATCCGTAGTCAGACGCCTTATCCATTGCGCCACAGACCCGATGATCTTTACATTTGAATTACACACGAAAGGAAAATACAATTTTGATTTCTGAAGATTTGTCAATCACTGGAACTGATAAAGTTCATCAGAAAACGTTATTTAAGGGCCGGTTAGCTCAGTCGGTTAGAGCGTCGTGCTAATAACGCGAATGTCGTGGGTTCGACCCCCACACTGGCCAAAACTTCTATATTTTTTTTAAATCAACACTTGCCATGGGCAGAAAACAAGATAAAATCTTGCTCTTGTGCATTTCCAACTTGGACCTACATTTATATACATGTATAGTAGATAATACAGATTAAACGACTACTAGTAAGTATGATGAATGCCGTGAAATTGGTAGAGTGGTTTCTCTGTTATAAAAGAATGTATTTCAACACCTCTACAATAAAACAGGCAAATCGTACTGCATTGATTTGGGTTTCGGAAGCTCGCCTTACTATGAAATTCTCTGATTTCAACACTAGGATATGTCAGTAAAATAGTGCAATGAAAGTCAAGCACATGACCTTACTCTAAAATTTAATAGCATAAGTCAATTAATTTCTTAGTCAGTTTCTAAAAAATTCAGTGAAATTCAAAGTTTTTAAAACTTGTTCTACATCTCCTAGAAACACACACACACACAAATACATTCCACTACAAACAAAGAATTTGAGACCAATGTTTTTCTTCGACCATTAGTATCTTGACGTGATTTAGGCTACCCAGCCAAGTTAAGGAAGGGAAATCGGGTAAAAACGTCAGTTAGGTTCCACCGATTTTTGAACTCGGATCGCTGGATTCAGAGTCCAGAGTGCTAACCATTACACAACGGAACCTCATATCATGTTAGGTGTTCTCTGGAGACTTACTTTTGAGTCGACCCCTGAACCGAGTGACATGTTAGTGAACAACTTGGCCATGTCTCAGTCTGTACTTAAGATGGCTGATTATAACTTCCTCGGTAGTATAGTGGTAAGTATCCCCGCCTGTCACGCGGGAGACCGGGGTTCGATTCCCCGCCGGGGAGGAGTATTATTTTCTAAACATTTTTTTTTCTTTAATTTCTTGATTTTATTTCTTCACGTACAAAATAAATAAATATTCATTTTCACATAGATGAGATTTTACCGTGAGAGTAGGCCTATTTAAAGTAGATACAACAAGTTTCATATCTATTTATGAAAAAAAAACATGAGATATATATGCGACGAGTCTGCCAGGATTCAAACCTGGAATCTTCTGATCCGTAGTCAGACGCGTTATCCATTGCGGCACAGACCCGTTGATCTTTACTTTTGAATTACACACGAAAGGAAAATACAATTTTGATTCCTGAAGATTTGTCAATCACTGGAACTGATTAAGTTCATCAGTATAGAGTAATTACGGGCCGGTTAGCTCAGTCGGTTAGAGCGTCGTGCTAAAAACGTGAATGTTGTTGGTTCGACCACCACACTGGCCAATACCTCTTTTTTTTCAGAACCAACCATTGCCATGGACAGAAAACAAGATAAAACTTGCTTTCGTTGCATTTCCAACTTGGTCCTACATTTTTATTTAGTACATGTTTTACACCTGGAACAAAGGTTTTTTGCTGCTACCAAATCACTTGGTACACTCCAAGCCCAAGCTTCATGGTTGGATGAATGACAATACCTTTTTTGTGTGCATAATGATTAAACTTATCATTATAAATGATATGTTACAATCGTGGACACAGGGCAGGGTCAATAAACAATGAATGTAGGACCTGATGTGCTAAACAGTCAATAAAATCTACACAATTAGTAAAGAAAAAAAAATCTTTTTCTCTTCCTTTGATTTCTTTCTGAATTAATCTACTTTAGCAAAAATTAAAACTTTACATTAAAAATTGTTATTGTTGTAAGCTGAGACAATGCAGCCGTACACAGTTTTTTTTCTGTTTTCGTTTTCTGTGAAATTCTTTGCTTTTCAAGCAATTAATCCAATTTACCCCTAAAAACCAATCTTTACTAATGTCCACAAGACTCCTATGCCCCATGTCTTAAATCCATTTAAAATGACATGAATATCTTCATACAGAGATTTTCAATCTACAGAAATGAACCTTTTTGTGTTTGAAAACTACTCACTGTACCTGACCTGTTGCAGACAGGTAGATATAACTCCGAGGGGTATGATTATCAGATTTGGGCCTGTGCAAAATGGCAACAGTCATGATCAAGTCATTGTTATCTTGATTAAATAACAAGAAACTCACAAAGATTTGTAATGAAATAGATACAGACACAAGGGGTTTAATTTCTCGTGTGAAACATGTACAAGTATGTTGTTAAACTCTCCCCTCGCCATTCGATTTGGCACCAAACCTCATGGTACTCGGAAAAGGTATACCAAAATATACATAGTAGTTAATACAGATTAAACGACTACTAGTAAGTATGATGAATGACGTGAAACTGGTAGAGTGGTTTCTCTGTTATTAAAGAATTCTTTCGTCACCTCTACAATAAAACAGACAAATCGTACTGCATTGATTTGGACTTTGGAAGCTTGTCTTACTATGAAATTCTCTGATTTCAACACTAGGAAATGACAGTAAAATAGTGCTATGAAGTCAAGCACATGCCCATACTCTAATTTAATAGCATAAGTCATTAATCTGTTAGTTTCTAAAAATTGAGTGAAAATTCGAATTTTTTAAAACTTGTTCTTCATGTCCTAAAACACACACACAAAAACACATCCCTGTATAAACAAAGAATTTCACACTTACGTTTTTCTTCGACCATTAGTATCTTGACGTGATCCTCGAACACCATTTAGGCTACCTAGCCCAGCTAAGGAAGGAAAATCAGGTAAAAACGTTGGCTAGCTTCCACTGAGATTTGAACTCGGATCGCGGGATTCAGAGTCCAGAGTGCTAACCATTACACCATGGAACCTCATATCATGTTAGGGGTTCGCTGGAGACTTGCCTCTAAATCGACACCACTGATTTCACGACTAGTGCCATAGAAATCAGCTAGTCGGACGAAACTGCAATCAACATCCACTTTGTGTATTCTGTTTAGTGCGATTTTTTTATTTAATCTCCTCAACTTGGTTGAAATAAATACAAATATAGAGCGTAGTTTTCTTTAAACGATATACACATGTAGTTCTTTAAGCTATATGCACATGTAGTTATTTGAAGCTACGTGTATATATAGTTTGCTTTGGTTTGTGATCATATCTTTTAAATGATACCTTGGTGATTTCATTATTTTGTTCAAGTAAATTTGACATTTTCAAGCTTCCATACTATGGAATTTTTTGTTCATTAATGTGTAAAAGGGATTGCTATAAGTCACAATTTTGAGCTCATGCCTGGAATATTAATTATTACACAGGGTTGAACATGTTAAGAAATCGGGACTTTTTGAACTTATTAATTTATCTCGGTTCTCTATTACGTAAGTATTTCATGCATGTGCCCAACTTCTAAATTATTAAACTAGGCCTATCGATCTACATATCAAAGAAACGTTCTTTCTTTATGGTATATGTTTTAAAATGTAAACATGAAATATATTGTGTGATTAAGCATTTAGTAAAACACTAATTTCTGAAAATACCAATGATTGAAGAAGGTAACGGCAATTAGGGATTTAACCATCTACGGTTCTCCGTTCGGATTATCACAAATTTATTTTGATTGAAAGTGAATGTTATACTCAGATGTATATGCATATATTTTCCTGAGAGAAGTACGTGTATCTCTGTAGTCTAGGTATTTAACAATTTTTATGAAGTCCCTTTGTTTCTTTTTTATACATGTACATGTATATATAAATTATTGACTCACGCAATCGGAGAGAACAGATACATGGCAATCTACCTAGGGTTGGATACCGGTACTCGGTACCAATACCGTATACCGAATAGTTACTTCAAAAATACAAGTAAAATACCGTTTCATTTAATACCGGTACTAATAACGGTACTATTTCTTAATCTTAGAAACATTTTAATACATTCAAAATGATTTAAAACTCGCTAAAATAGATTTCTCCGCACATTGAAAGGGTAGGCTAATTAACGAAATGGATGCTTAGTATGACCATACGACACTTGCTTTCGACTGCCGATATTCGAGGTAAATCAGTACGTATATCTCTTTTATCAAAAAAATTTAAATACATTAAAATTAATCGTTTTTTAATTTAATTAATAAAAACTTATAAAAAATTAAAAAGGCAAAATGTCGCAAAAATGTGATGTGCATTTCTATCCATCTTCTAATGTTTCGTTGTTTAGTGAGACCAAACAATATGGGTCCTAGCAAAGACGGAACTTGTGTATACTTGTGATTATGTATTTATTCAAGTTAATTTGTTTGAGATTCAATTTATTTGTTTTGTTGGTCATTTATTAAAAGATTGAAATATAATCATAGTTTATAAGCTCATTTTAGGTTATAACATTGAATGGTTGATGACTGGTGAAAGCATATTTGTTATGAAATGAACCCTTAAATATTCTCATTCATCAAGGTATGGTACCGTATCGTTAAAAATACCATATCGTTTCAAAAATACCGGTATGGCATCGTACTGTTTCAACCTTAACGGTATCCAACCCTAAATATACCAAAAGCATGCTACACCTATAAATATGAAGGTTACACTTCTATTTCACACCTTTTAATTACTATTCAGGCACGTTGCAACGGGGGGGGGGGGGGCTACCCCCACTTTTTTCCAAAGACTTTATTTTTACTATTTGAAATGTTAATTGAAAGGCCGGTTGACCACCCACTTTTTGTTGTAGTAGAGTCAAATAAGGGTTTTGTAGTAGTGTATGAATAAAATTTGGTACTGAAAGAAGTTGGAACCTACCCCCCCCCCCCCCCCCCCCCCCCCCACGAAATAGGGTTTTCGGGTTTGGATAATTTCCCTTTTTTTCGCTTGTCAAGTTTTTTTTCAGGTAAGTTGAATTTTTTTTCTCTGGCTACAAGGTATTGATTGATTCTTAAAATTTATTTCAGTGAGTCTCGGGAGTGCTGAAAAGGGTAGAATATTAGATGATTTTCAATTTGTTGCAACATCTGCTCTGAAGTCTGGCAGCCCTCTACAGGTTGTGGAATGCAAGAAATTAAAAAACCTGACAAATTTCAGTGAAAATACGAGAAGTGTTTTCTCAAATTATGATTTCCTAAAAATAATTCATGATGATGGTAAGTATATCAAAGAACTCAAATTTGACCTTGAAAGTTTTCTGTTCATTTTGAAAGTGACTGCCGTAAAGGAAACGAACCTTAAAAAGAACTAGACAACTCAAATGTGAAACGCATATTTCCTTTTTTCCACTGTCGATATTGAATTAGACTGAAGCTAGCAGCCAATAACAGCAGCCATTAAGCCCGTAGAAGCTAGCAGCCAATAAGGAAAATCATCACAGGACTGAGAGTACTCTGACGCAATACTGTTTAATGCCTCATTTTCGACAATTTATAATTAATAATTAGATAATTAATGCAACATTTAATTATTTAATAATTCAAACACTTGGAGGCAGTTAAGCTCACCTGCATAAGGAAAATTATGCGGTTTCAAAACAAACAAACAAACAAAAAAAGAAAATGTCATCATCTTTGACCGCTTAAGAACAAACCAACATTGGAAATAGATTAAGGACTTCCGGGAGAATCCCTTTTAAGCTCTTTTACGGGTCTCAGGAATTTGATGGTGCCAAAAGGCTAACCTGAAATTTGCTTACTCCTAATATTTACATTGATAAGGGTTTGAAGGTAATTTAATCTATTTTAAGTTATGATCCTTGAAGTGTGCTTCGACAATTACTGGCACAAGGTAAAGAATCCACAGGGCTATTATATACGGCCATGAAAATTAGGCTGAAGTGGTACCACCAAGTGGTGCCAAGGGCGGGTTACATATTTCAAGCAGCTATTATACCTCTTATCTTATAAGTGTGTTTTAAATCATTACTGTGGCAAGATAGAAGATTTCTAGGACTATCATTTCCCGCAATCGGTATGAGGCTGTAGTGGCATCACCAAGTGGTGCCAACGGTGAGGAACATATTTCAAGCTTTCATTTTTCAACTATCATTGACCACTAGAACAAACTAACACTAAACTGGAAAAAACTTAAGGGCCATAATTAGGGAGTATCCCTTGTCAACTTTTTGACAGGTTTCAATGACTAGAAAAGGCCAGTTAGGTAACCTGAACTTTGTTGTATTTCACTTTGTCTATTGATATATGGATTAAAAGTCAGATGTAATACCCCTTATCTTTGAAGTGTGCTTCAAATCATTACTGGGGAAAGGTAGAGGGCCCCTAGGACTATCATTTCCCGCTATCCGAATGGGGCTGTAGTGGTACCACCAAGTGGTGCCAAGGGTGGGGGACATATTTCAAGCATTCATTTTGAAAGCATCTTTGGCTACTAGAACAAAGTAACACTAGTGAAAGGTTAAGGACCTTAGGGAGAACCACTTGCCTGGTTTTTGAAGGGTCCCTGGGAAGAAAAAGGGTCAGTAACCTAACCTGAACTTTGTTGTTTTTCACTTTGTGTTTTAATATACAGTTTAAATGTCAGCTATTATACCCCTTATCTTTGAAGTGTGCTTCAAATCATTACTGGGGAAAGGTAGAGGGCCCCTAGGACTATCATTTCCCGCTATCCGAATGGGGCTGTAGTGGTACCACCAAGTGGTGCCATGGGTGGGGGACATATTTCAAGCATTCATTTTGAAAGCATCTTTGGCTACTAGAACAAAGTAACACTAGTGAAAGGTTAAGGACCTAAGAGAGAACCACTTGCCTGGTTTTTGAAGGGTCCCTGAGAAAGGAAGGGACCAGTTAGCTAACCTGAACTTTGTTGTTTTTCACTTTATGTTTTAATATACGGTAAAAGGTCAGCTATTATACCCCTTATCTTTGAAGTGTGCTTCAAATCATTACTGGGGTAAGGTAGAGGGCCACTACGACTATCATTTCCCGCTATCCGAAAGGGGCTGTAGTGGTACCACCAAGTGGTGCCAAGGGTGGGGGACGTATTTCAAGCATTCATTTTGAAAGCATCTTTGGCTACTAGAACAAAGTAACACTAGTGAAAGGTTAAGGACCTAAGAGAGAACCACTTGCCTGGTTTTTGAAGGGTCCCTGAGAAAGAAAGGGGCCAGTTAGCTAACCTGAACTTTGTTGTTTTTCACTTTATGTTTTAATATACGGTAAAAGGTTAGCTATTATACCCCTTATCTTTGAAGTGTGCTTCAAATCATTACTGGGGAAAGGTAGAGGGCCCCTAGGACTATCATTTCCCGCTATCCGAATGGGGCTGTAGTGGTACCACCAAGTGGTGCCAAGGGTGGGGGACATATTTCAAGCATTCATTTTGAAAGCATCTTTGGCTACTAGAACAAAGTAACACTAGTGAAAGGTTAAGGACCTTAGGGAGAACCACTTGCCTGGTTTTTGAAGGGTCCCTGGGAAGAAAAAGGGCCAGTTAGCTAACCTGAACTTTGTTTTTTTCACTTTGTGTTTTAATATACAGTTTAAATGTCAGCTATTATACCCCTTATCTTTGAGGTGTGCTTCAAATCATTACTGGGGCAAGGTAGAGGGCCCCTAGGACTATCATTTCCCGCTATCCGAATGGGGCTGTAGTGGTACCACCAAGTGGTGCCATGGGTGGGTGGGGGGGGCGTATTTCAAACTTTCATTTTCAAATCACCTTAGGTCCACGGAAGAAACTAATACTGGTTGAGGATCATTGAAAAATTTTATCGGGTTCTCTCGGTCCTGATGGGGGCCATTTCAACTTTGTCGTATATTTACAATGGATATTGAAACACGGATAAAGATCAGTTATTATGAGCCTTTTTTTGGAAGTGGATATGCATCATACCGTTAGTAGGGCATAGTAGGTGGCGTATCAGGCTATCATTTGCCGATCTCAGATTAAGACTTTATGGGAACCACCTAGTTGTGCTTTAGTTGAAATCCCTTTTTGAAGTATTATTTTTCGCAATATTTGAACACCATAACAAACCAACACAAGGGAAGGATAAGGGATCGTAGGAAGTATTCCTTTTCAGTTTTTGGAGGGTCTTTAAGACTGGACATTGCCAATATTCTGAGAGAAACTTTATTTTTTTTTTCTTGTTCACTTTTCAAGAAAATTTAAGATTCGTCTATTACCCCCTTATCTTTGAAGTGTGCATGAAAGTACTTTTGTGGCAGAATGGGGGGGGGGGGGGGGCTTATCATTTTCGCTTTTAAGTTGGAACTGTAGAGGTTCCACCAAGTGGGTTGTTTCAAGCGTTTTTTCTTCTCCGCCATCTTTGAATAATGTAACAAACCAACACTAGGCAAAGGAAAGGGATCATAGGAAGTGCGCCTTGTTATGTTTTAAGAGAGTCTTTGAGGCAATTATCTCATCCGAACCATGTCACATTTTAGCATTACATTTGGAGATGAGGTTGTTCATTTACTCAGGTGACTTATTGCTGTATTTTCGTTTGTTGTCATTTGTCGTCCGTCGTATGTTATATTTAAACATATTCAGCTTTTTCTATGTGACCTTTATATATATTTTAATCAATTTTGGTATATAGCATGTGTGATAAAAGGAGAGGAAAGTTGTGAATTTCATGTTCCTGGCTCTTTGGAGCCCAGTTATGTCCAAGACAAGATGTAGTTATGATATCGACAGATTATTTTTTCATAGTTTGCTACAATATTTCTTTTTTCTTGTTCGTATGTTACAATATTCAATATTTACAAAGCTTTTCTTACTGTACGTATCCACGATATCGCAATCATGATTATTCAATGGATGTTGGTTACCTCCCTCAATGTTATGTTACCTGAATGCTATAATTTTCTGAAGTTCCTCCTGTAGTGTCGATATCGTCGATATCATTTCGATGTCGATTCATGTTTGCTCAAGCATTTCAAACTGCTGTCCTTGCCATTGTGTATGTATGTCTTTTTTTAAATACTTTAAATTTAGGAAGATTGTACTTGCTATCGATATTGTCGATATCGACGATATCGTATGGATATTAAATCATTTTCGATATCATTCTTGTGGATGCATTTCTTTATGCTACAGTTATGAGTACGTTCTTTTTGATTATTAAGTTTGCCCTAATGTCGAAATCGTACCGATATTGAATTATGATTCCGCAAACCATGATATTTTTACCAACGTTCACCCTTACCCAAAACCTTACCTTAACTCCAACCTCCTGAAAAAAACAACCCCTTGCCCTTTATTTGTCATCCTTATTTATTTAGATACTTATGCCAAATAATGAATGCACATCGACATCATACTTGCGACGTTCTATAAATATGTTTCTTCCTCAATTTGGAAATAAACTGTACAGATCTGTATCGATATCGATGATATTGTCGAAATCAACGGTGTCGAAATAAAACTAAGTTTAATATTTATCCAGTATTTCCAATTCCATAGTAATGATCAGGATCGATAGCATTACAATATCGATGTTATATTGTCGATATCGACATCAAATTTGTTGGAACCTGAGGGGTGGGGTTCAAACTATCAAATTTAATGTAACTTTTAAAAGTCTTATTTACTCCTAGACATCAAGCAGTCAGACTTTTAGCATTTATAAGATATGAGAATTACGAACAGTCAAAGCAAACAATACAAAATTGTTAGCAGAGCCACAAGGACCTCTGAAAACAGAGGAGGGACCAGGTACCTTAAATGAGTGAGCATCCCCTGTCGTCCGTTCAAATCCGTTGTTTGCTCTTTGTCATTATTGGGAAACTGGAGAATTCAGTAGACAATTCAGTGTAAAAGTAATGGACTTAACGAGAGATTGTAGTTGCAATCATAGCCATTTTTCAACCATAGAATTTGCAAAATATTGTGTATAAACGAGATTCTTTATATCCTTGTATAATCAACTTATTCGTTAGATGCTTGCTTATTTTATGAATTCCAATAAGCAATGATACCTCAAAAGCAAACTGTGAAATTCATGGTCCTTAGATTTGGAGTATTGATGTAAGAGTTGGGCTTTATACATGTTGATCATATAGGTAAAGTAATATTCTTTAAAGTCTTATTCTCTCAGCTGTATATTTAGGAGACAAACTAAATACACAGAAATGATAAGCAAGTGTGCCTCTTCCAAAATTTTGAATTAAGGCCTCTTGGTCATGGTCAT